GCCCTGAACCACTGCCCAGTCATGGCCGCACCACCACTACATCTCCACAGCGCCTATTGTCAATGCCGTGTCGACCTCGGTGGAGACAATAGCCGACATATCCTCGAACATGACCGTAGCTGTACAACCTTTTGATTTAGTCCAAATAAAGCTCAACCAACTTCACTTACATGTGAACGTCTGAACTGGATCCAAGGACGGAGCGTCACTTATTTGAGTGGGTCTCGAAGTTCTATTTTTCATATGATACATGGTACACCTGTAAATTTTTATATGAAGTGTATATTTGACCTCTTTTGTAGACTTCAACCCCACTAAATTTTCGAAATTATAAACTTCACCCCTCAATATGAAAAGAAACAAGTGGCATAAAAAAGTGCAAAATTAAAAAAAAATTGAATTTTTCCAAAAAATAAAAAGATAAAGCATATTAGAAGTTCGAACTTTATATGTATGGGAATGTATTCGATTAATGAGCCCTTTTTTTGTTTCTGGTGAGTCATAAAATTTTCAATTAATGCAACCAAATCCCAATTTTCTTTATGGAAATGCAGTCAGGTCATCACTTGTACATTGTTGAGGAAAAATAAAGCATATACCGCTAGTGTAAAGGAAATTTTACACAGGGGACCTTAACCACCATTGATTTGAAAATTTTATCTATCTACTCTTTTAAATAAATGGTGGATTTAGGATGTTTATGTAAATATTTTTTACATTGGATGTGTACATTATAATTACTCTTAAAAAGATTAAGACTTGATAGTTTCAAATGAATGGCTTATGATTATATTGCACTTCATATTGCAGTTTTAAAAGTTCCGATGAACTTTTTTCATAAAAACATATCCAATCATATAAAATATTACTTCATGTAAAAGGTACCTATTTTTTTTTGCACAAAAAAATTCTTATGTGACAATTGATAAGTAATTTTTCATCCTTTAGATTTTGTGCTTAAATAAAATCTTCTCTCATAATAGTATTATATAATAAGAAAATAAAATCCATGGCTAAAATTACTCCTACCCTTGCTATATTGACATCCCTGATGAAAAGTTCACTCTTCGTCCGACGGGATCTTTTGTCCATTTGTTTAATGTCAATTGGGCCGGTCCGTCGACGTTTTTGTCTTTTGATTGTGGTCAACAATTATCACCTGTTCGTCTAATTTGTTTTTGATAGTGAGTGAGATTATCGATATAATCATTCTTTATTAGCTTAGGAAGACAGCTCGAATTCTAGATTTTATACCAATTATTCAATTGGCGACATGATATACAAGCAACCCCTTTGATTTCCTGCGCTACCATTTTGGTACTATTATTTTATTTTTGGTGGGACAAGATACTATCCTTTCATTTTATGCATTTCGTCGCTGTTTCCAACCTAATAAAGTGGGGATAAGAATTTTGGATACTACAAATGGTATGCGTTTCTGTTTCTAGAACGTTTATAGAAACTCTATGATGTGATGTTTGAGTCTTTAACTTACAGAAACTCATTTAATACTAATGCAACCTTTATATGTGAATTTTCTTCCTATAAGAAAATAAAAACTTTTGCTGGTGGTGAAATGACTCCATTTTCGAAGAGATTGTCATTGACCCGGAACTGAAATGGTTATAAATTTAGGCTTAATACAGTCTCATATTCAATTCATACCGGGCATAATCTCTTGTCGGAGTAATTTCCTACTTATGATTCGTGCAACTCCAACACTGAGGCAATTTATTTGATGGATTCCCTCTCGTTTTCTTGAAAATTGCTCCAGAATGTCCTTTCATTCATAAAAAAAAAATGGAAGATAGCTCCATACCCTTTATATTGACAATTATCTCAATTTATGTGTAGTAACATATCAGTCATGTGGGTAGAGATGATTCAAACCTTAAACATGGAAAATGCCTCATGATCATATACATGAAGAACCAAGCGAAAACACTTTTCTTTGGTCACCCTACGTGACAGTGGTGGGATGGAAGGACTATTCCCTTTCAATGTGATTGCTCATGTATTTCAATTGTCTTTCTTTTCTATACTTTCTCGTTGTAGCCAGGTTACCTTGACTGGAAAACTAGATTCTTAAAGAAAAAAAAAGAAAAAATAATAAAAAAAGAAATTGTATATATAATTCTAGAAGGAAGAGAAAAATATAAAGAGTGATGCCCTTCCAAGTCTTATAATTCCTCTAAGGCATCAATTTTCTTAGGACAAACTGCACCTACTGGGATCAACTCACGAGCTTGAATGCTTATCAAAATCATACCAATTTAGAGCCATGTTGATTTTCTTTGTAACACAAGCACGTTGCTTTAATTGATTGCACCAATGTCTGTCTCGATATGAAAAAACTCAATTTTTCTTAGATTGAAATCTCATTGACTTAAGTTGCAAATATAGATAGTGCCACTCCACTAACTCATTGACTTAGCCCTTATTTAGTCTCTTATGTTATCACAGCACATGAAGCAACTATAGTTCTTTTCTCTCACTTTTTTTTTCACAATTAGTTAATTACTTTTTCGCTTTTCGGCAAATTGTTAAAATGTTTGGGATTAAATTGGCATAATTAAGGTTTAGGACTAAATTGGCACAATTGAAAAATTTAGGACTGAATTGACACAAGTGAGATATGTTTAGGACTTTTTTGGTAATTTTCCCTATTTGAATAGGGTCTCGAATTTGTATTTTCCATAATATAGGCCTAAATTTTTTTACATGAAGTGTACATTTGACATCTTTTGTAGATTTTGACCCCACTATATTTTTGAAATTACAAAATTGACCCTTCAAAATATGAATAACCAAATGACATCAAAGAAAGCACCAATATTTAAAATTTACATTTCAATTTTTTAAAAAGATAAAGGTAAAAAAAATAGCATATTAGAAGTTCGAATTTTTATGAGTGGAATGCAGTTGAGTGATGAGCCTTTTTTATTGCGAATGAGCTCTAAATTTTTCAAGTGATGCTATCGAATCCCAATTTTTTTTTTTGAAAGTGCAGTCAAGTCTATCTAGTTATCACTTCTCCATTGTCTTGTACAATTAAACTTCTAACACTATCACTTTAGCAATTTACAGTACTAATACCCATTAAACTTTGTCACCTTTTGAAAAGATGCATAATATAGCATATACCGTCACTAGAAAAGAAATTTTACACAAGGGGCCTTATTCACCTTTTCAAATCAACAGTGGATTTGCGTCCAAATTTTGTTTACACTGGAGGTGGACATTATAATTACTCTTAACAAGATTAAGACTTGATAGTATCACATGAATGATTTATGACTAGATTGCATTTCATACTAAGGTTTAGAATTTCAGAAGAGCTTTTTTGTGTAAAATTTCATCCAATCATATAAAGCATTGCTCATATAAAAGGTAACTATTTTGTTGTTGCACCAAAAAAATTCTTATATGACAATTTATGTAATTTGTTGTGCTTTAGTTTTTGTATTAATATAAAATCATGTCTCATAATAATATGATACAATAGAACCATAAAAATCTACGGCTAAACTTACTTTGACCCTAGCAATATTGACACCACTTATGAAATGTTCAATGTCAATTGGGCCGGTCCATCAACGTTTTTGTCTTTCGATTGCGGTCCCCAATTATCACTTGTTCTTCTTCTTTATTTATTTATTGTTTGTCTTTATTAGCTTAGGAAGAGAGCTCAAAATTCGTTTTTTAATGCACATTATTGATTTTGCAATATGATATCCTACCAACCCCTTAATTTCCTACGCTGCCATTTTGTTAGTATAATTTTATGCATCACATTACTAAATTCAACCTATTCAAGTGGGGATAAGAGATACTACAAATAGAATGCGTTTCTGTTTCAAGAAAATCACAGCCCTTTTCACCAAAACTGCATGCATATTTTATTTTGAGTCTTTGACTTGTAGGAACTCATTCAATGCTAGTGCAACCTACATGTGAGATGTTTGTACCTCAAATGAGAAAACAAATCTTTTGCCAGTGAAATAGCTCCATTTTCGGAGAGATTCTCGTTGATTCGGAACTGAAATGGCTTTGGACTCGGGTTCAACACAAGATCTCATATTCAATTTGTACTCGACGCAATCTCTTATGAAGTAATTTCCTCTGTACGAATCGACCATCTGGAATATGATAGCCATTTTTTTGGTCAATCAGGAAAATGGATTCACTCTCGTTTCATTAAAATTGCTCTAGAATACCTGTCATCAATAAAATGTTAAACTCAAATCACAAAAGAAATACTCAGGAAGCATAAGACCATATAACCAGAATCAAGCGAAAGCACTTTCTTTTGGTCACTCTATGTGACAGCGGTGGGATAGAAGGGACTATTCCTTTTTAATGGGTCTTATTGACCATAAAAGGAAAAAAAAAAAGAGTGATGCTCTTCCAAGTCTTATAATTCCTTTAATGTGTTGATTTTCTTAGGACAAACTGCACCTATTGGGATCATCTCATAAGCTTGGATGCTTATCAAAATCATTCCAAATTAGAGCCACATTGATCTTATTTGTAACATAGGCGCGTTCTTTTAATTGATAGCATTAATGTCCGTCTCAACATGAAAATCTCAATTTTTCTAAGAATGAAATCTCATTGACTTAAGTGGCAAAAATAGATAGTTCCACTCGACAAACTCATTGACTTAGCCCTTACTTAGTCTCTTATGTCATCACGGTACATGAGACAACTGTAGTCCTTCTCTCTATTTCACAGTTAATTAATTACTTTTTGGCTTTTCGGAAATTTTCATGATTCCAAGCGATCCTAATAAATGCACTTGCACTCCACTTTAGGGATAGAAACAAACTGCGATAGTGACAAACAATCACTACAGCATGTGCAGACACAATAGTCAACTACATTAATTGAATAGATGTTGTGTGTTCATTTCATCCTCGAGCCGCCTTATTTATAGACTCCGCGGGTATACTCGAGATTTCATAAACCTCATCGTAAGCTGATACATTACATCTTTTCAGAATGAGACCTTTGAAGCTCTTCCTTCTCTTCACCTTTGTCCTCGTCGCTCTGAAACCAACACAAGCAGCTCGAGACATCATCTGTGAAGTCCTCGACAACACCTCCGAAACCCTTGACCCCAGATTCGGGGACGAGATCGGATTTGGATACGCTTTGGAAGCTTTATCAGACGCTTCTGACTTTGTCTTTGAGACGTTCAATCAAAGCAACGGTGGGGGAAGAGGCTACCCGACAGTTCTCATGATCATCGAGAGCTTCCTCGCCAACGGATATTCCCCCACCATCGCGACCAACAATGGCAGCCAATTCCGAGTGAACGCAGACTACCTCCAGGCCTACGTTGGTGACGTGAAGGCTGAGTTCACGGGGATCGTATACCACGAAAGCGCTCGCGTATGGCAATGGACAGGCAATGATACTGCCCCCATTGGCCTTATCACAGGCATCGCTGACTACATCCGATTGAGGGCGAGATGGCCATCAAAGTATTGGCCGCCGAGAGGATCCGGTTGCAGATGGGATGATGGGTATGCTGTGACGGCGTATTTCCTGGAGTTTTGCAGCAGGAAGAGGCGTGGGTTCGTGTCAGACCTCAATGCGATGATGGAGAATTCGTACTCTGATTCGTTCTTCGTGATCCTACTCGGTCAGTCTGTGGATGAATTATGGAAGGAGTATATTATGTCCCACAATGAGACCGATGTCCTAGAACCAGCAATAGCACCAGAGCATGGCGTACTGAATTAATCAATCAGGTGACTATATGAGACAACTATGATAATGTCTAGGGGGTGGTTTTCCTTTTTCCTCATCTATAAATATACGATTCAATAAAATGTTGAGGAAGTACCAAAGCAGGAAAGATTACTAAGGGTTCATTATGCAGGAGCTTGTATTTTCATTGCATCTTTGCATCTCTCTCTCTCTCTCTCTCTTTCTCTCTGAAGTTTAGTAAGCTGTCTGTGAAAGCATATCACTTTAAAATATCAAAGAGGTAAAAAAAGAAAAAAGAAACTGGTGCTCCATCTGTTTGCAACGATTAGCATTTCTCCCAGAAGTCACGAAAAATTTGTTTTTCTTTTTTTGATTTTCGGCTCGCAAGTCATCAAATCTAATGAATAACACAACTTTTACATACACAAAAAAGTCAAGAAATTGTTTCCACCGCCACATCAGTTAGATCGTGAAAAATCACAATGTGTTTCCAAAAAGATGGGAAGAGCGGCAACCAAATCCAATATTCAATAAACATGTCAAAATTGCATATAAACATTCTCCATCACCAAACTTTGCTAAATCCATCGACGTATGGCTACTATCGTAGGAATTGTCTTTGATGTGTTGTTGGTTTAAAGTTTGAACTAGACCCAATCACTGTGCGAACCTAGACGTGCTCGGGCCGAAGCTTCTCGTGTTCAGACTTTCCAGGGACCTTCCATAGGCCTAAGCCCGACCAATGCAAAAACTTGAGTTTGGGAAGCTTGCCTAGATGCGCAACATTTATTTATAGGATTAATTGAAAATAAAAAAACGAAATATGAGCTGAAATAATTACCGGAATTTGTGTTGTTATACGTTACTACTTTGCCCTTGTGTTATGTATTGCTTTGTTTCTTTTTCATATCAGAATTTGGCCCCCATTTTGTTTCTTTTAATCTTTATATATTTATGTGTCGAGGTAGGAAAGTCAATGAAAACTAAATGTAAAAATATTTTCGAGAGCTAGGCTTGAAAAAACAGTTCGCCAGCCAGCGATCCAAAGCAAAAAGTAGCCAAACCCGCCCACATTCTAGGTGGGTCGATCCTACTGTTCATTGATCAGGTCTAGCACAAAAGGAGAAATTGACTCATCTTTTTGGCTCCCATGCTTTAGCCCAACAACAAATTAAAAAGAGCTATTTAATGCATCTACACTAGACTATCCTATAATTTGTAAATCTCAAAAGGTCAAATTAATTAAAGTCAATATTTTCTATTGCAATAATTTCCGGACAACCTTTCCTTTTGGGATTGTTATGTCCTAGATTTTTATTAATGTTGACATTCTGTAGATTTCTAAAAACCTGCGATACACTAATTTTATTATAGGAGAGGAGGGAGGACTATAACCTATTTATGTAGCATATTCCAATAGATTCATCAATCACAAGTTATTGTTAAAACACTTTCCTATATCGACCATTCAACCGCGTTATTACCGTAACCAAAACGTGTTAAGTCCAATATAATATGATTACATGAATGTACTTAAGGTGTTCTAGCATTGTCTTGTATATTTTATTAACTCTATAACATTCGGTTTCACAACCTAAAATTTGGTGCAATTAAAAGTTGATGTTGACACCTGAATTTTTGTTAACCATTCAAATGTTCATTTTTTTGTAAAAAAGTAAAAAAAAAACAACAAAAAATGTAGTGGTAAAAACACTTATATAGAAAAGAAAGAAGAAAGAAGAATAAAAGAGTAATAAACAGGTCGTGGCTTGGTCCATTGACGGAAGTCAAAGTCCATGAAACCCAGCAATCAATTTGCTAAATATAAACGGTTACAATCCACATCGTGGTTGGCCCTCTCTCCTCTGGCCATGATCCCCATTGAAGCTTCTTCGCGCACAACCTGGGAGCCGCAGCCGATCGACGCTGCCCGCCACCTCCAGAACGCCGTCCGCTCGCCGCCGTTCGCCGCCGCCGCCGCTGCCGACGCCGACCTCATCTTCAAGGCAATACCAGTCGGTGTTCTGTTTTGCCGAGGGTTCCGACTGAGTTAAATCTCGTGGCGCATTCATCGTCGGGGGGATTTCGTCCATCGATGATCACCGAAGATTCTGTAGTTTGATATAATCGACACTGGGAGCCATGGTTTTTGCACATTAAACAGGTGAGATTCTGATATGAAACTCGCACTCCAAGTCGCACGCCACCTGTTCGATGATTTGCGCATGAGACGTCTTGAACCTGGTTTCGCATAATCGGATGTTCGACATTGTCTAGATCTGTAGTGATTCATGTGTTTAGATTTTAGCGTGTTTGATTGGATGGAGATCGATGGCAGATTGAATAAGAGGTTCTGTTTTTGCAGCCAGTGTGTGATGGGGGCCGGCGGTGGCTGTAAGTTGTCGTCAACGGACGTACGGCGGTGGCCGGAATAGATGGCCGACGGCAGGGGTGAGAGAATCGGTGGTAATGGATTTCCAGACGGTGTTGGTGAGGCCTCGGTGAAGAAGCTCTTGGTGCAGGTCTCGGGAAGAAGAAGACCAGGAAAAATAGAAATAAGAAAAAATGAAAAAATAGAAATAGAAAAAGGAAATTAAAATCCAGATATAACAAGAGTCGGGTCGGATCCGATCAATAGAACCGGATCGGATTTGAGCGTTGTGGGCTAGAGACAGGGCTGGGAAAATGGGCTGACTGGGCCGAACTTGAAATTGGGCTTTAATTTAACTGAATATCAAAATTTTGGGAATTTGGGCTTGAATTCTTCTTATAGCCTAAGCCCAGCGAATCAGGGCCGTACTCGGACCGGACCCAAAGGGCGGTCAACCGGCGATTTGGACCAAAGTTCCACTTGCCCGGTCCCTAGTCCATTTTCTAGAATTAAATAATAAAAATTTAAAAATTTTAAAAATTAAGAAAATTCGGAAAAATCCAAAATATGTGGGTAAAGCTAAAAGAACATTAGAATTCACCTAGTTTAGGGTTTTTAATAAACATTTTGGGCTTAGACAAATTTGATTCGAAATTGAATAAGCCTTTAGGGCTTTACCTAGGGTTTTTGGATGATTTTTGTTTTAGAGACAATGCTAGGTTGTTATTTGCGCACTTTCATTTCAATTTTACTTGATTGCGCATTTTCAATACATTAGTTGTTATTTTCCTTTTTAAAATTGTTAGGTAAAAGACTGCCTTGACATTTTAGTCAACAAATAATCAAGTTTAGGTACCGAAAGGGTATTAGTTAAATGACTAGTGTAATTAAGTCCCCATTCCTAAGAATCACTTTGGTTATCAAACACCCATATCACGATGTATAAGTATTCTTGAACCTAGGATGTGACATCCTGAAAAATTAGTCCATTTGGGATTTATGAAATACTGGATTTTATGAATGTACTCGTAGTCAGTTCTCGCCCGGAACTGATTATTCCTGGGATGCTAACCATTAGGGAAAGGCTAATAGGGGAAATCAAATTTGCGCGACTAAAGAAAATTCGATCGTGAATGGATTTCGACCATTAAATCGCGGAAGTGATATTTTGAGCCATTGTTGGCCGATCCAAGGATAGTTAGGGATCGGTTCGCCACTGTTATAGTAGTGAATCGCGGGTGATTCCGCTGGACCACGAAACGACTTGACGAATAATCCTGAACCTATACCGAACGATCGTACCCCTCGGATCAAGTGATTGATCTTCGCGATTTTAATGACAACCGAGGTCGTCACGTACCGAACGAACTTGCACGTGACTCGATTCAGTATCAGTCATGAGTCGATTCTGCGAATTTCCCCAGCAAGCCGCCCGTTAGCTTGAAAAACGCTCGAATTGCGTTTAATAAAATTTAATTATTGAATTTAGCCCAAATTGGACATCGGAAAATTAGGAAGTCACGACGGAACGTTAGGACGACGTTGCAGGGGACACGTGCGAATTTTGGGTGCGCTCAAATCCTTCAGAAAAATTCGATTTGGGCAAGAAATTGAGAAAGTGACCAAAATACCCCTAAGGATTATTAAAGGGCATGTTTTATGGGCAAGGGGCATTTTGGTCATTTTACCCCCAAATTTGAAAAAGACATTTTTACCCTTGGACTTTTTGAGAAATTACAACATTGCCCTTGGATATTTTGGATGAGATTCGATCTGGGCCGTCGATTTCAGGATAAGATCGAATCTGGACCGTCGGATAAAAAAGATTAGAGAAAGGGTATTTTGGTAAATTACCACTTTGGTCCAAATTTGACTATTTAAGTCAAAATTTTTCTCTCTCCTCACTCATTCCCCTCCCCCATGGCAGCACACCCCCCCAAACCGTGAACTCTCTCTCTCTTTGGACCGATCATCGTCCAAGTCGATCGTCGGACCGCCGCCGCGCCGTCGCCGCTTGCTTTCGCCACCACAAAGCCGCGCCGCCGTCCCCGCCGTTCGCCGCCGCGCTACGTTCTAGCCACTTTAGTCTAGAACCAAGTAAGTTGTAATCTAAACCTCGCCTAGGACGTCGGGTATTTTTTCGGACTTGTTTGGGTGCGGTTTAGGGTGATTAGAGGTTGATTAAGGTGTTGATCATGGTTATTGGTGGCTGAGTATGGCTGTTAGTGGTTGTTGCGGGTTGGATTAGACGTCGGGAAATGAGTTTTGGCGGTTAGAATTCGGTAGAAATCGGTTCGGGTTTGAATCCGTGAGGTTCGGGTGAATCGCGGATTCGCGGTTACTGTACCCGCCCGGCTTACTATTTTTGTAGAGAATTTTGTGGGCCGAATTTGAGGAAGGTTCTTCATGAAAGTTGTTCCCAACATCTTGAGGTATAACATACTTTAATTTGAGAATTTTTGGAGATCATTTGAGGCCATTTGGAAGCCCATCTTTGGACCGAAATAAAACTGTCCGATTTACTGTTCACTCAACCTTCGGGTCTGTTCGAATTTTTATAAATTTTTCCAGGCCTATTTTCAAAATACTTCCTTCACGAGAATTGTTAGGGACATTTGTGGCTATAACATATAAAAATTTCAAGGCTTTTCAAGATGATTTGACTATCGAATGAGTTGTATTTTGATGGCCTGAGGGACTGTTCGAGCGAATCGGATTTCGTCTGACTTCAAGTGACCAAAAGAGGTGTTTCCAGTTGGAACTGAGTTTCGAGTTCTTCACAAAAAATGTTCAGCAAGATGTTTTACGCAACGTGTCCAAATTTCAGAATTTTCGGAGTTCGTTTACTATTTATTTGGATGGGATTTCGGTCACTGTGTAAACTGCCCAGTTTTTACCCGATTCTTTGGATGTTTGTTTTGATGGGCGGAATGGAGTTGGTGTCGGGATTGAATTATTGATGCCTCGTGACCAGAATTTAGGCTTGAATGTGTGTTATATGAGGTGATTTGAGGATGAAATGAGGATGTTTCGAGGCTGGAGTGAGATTGATTAGAGTATCGGATATTGTGGGATGGAATTGGCGAGCTTAGGGCTCGATTTAAGGACAAATGGTGTCGGTTTGGTGTGTGGTAGTATGGCTGGATTGTGGTGTTTAATATGCTCGGAAATGTCAAAATTATGCCTATGAACGTGGCTGTGTTTGTGGGTCCATGAGTGGCCTTGTGTGTTTATTGAACTGTGATTGATGGATTGAAATGTGTTTGATTATGTGCACGCGTGGGCCAGATTAAATTAATTGTTGAAATTGGCCATGTCGAATGCTGAGTGAGCATGTTTTACGTGTTAATTGATGCGTGCACGGGCCACGTGTGATGGGCCAGTTGGGTGTGGTATATGCGTGTCGAGCATGCGCATGAGTAATAAAGAAATGTGGTGTGGCATGTGATTGTGGAATTTATGTGAAGGTGTGGAATTGCGAGTATTGGGATCGGTCCGAGGCACGATCAGCTCGAGTGAGACCGGGATTGGACCGAGGCATTATAAGCTCGGGTTCCAATCATGTAGGCTTGTCGCATTTGGCGCGGGTTGAGCTGGGATCGGGCCTGGGGCGTGTGATGCTCAGGTCGCGATTGGGGCCTGAGGCGTGAACGGGTACGCGGGTCGGATGTGGTGAATGATCGCAGTGTGCCTGAGGCGTGTACTTCAACGCGGGTCACTGGCGAGTGATGTGGAAAGTGATTAGTGGTCGCAGTGTACCTGAGGCGTGTACGTTTACGCGGGTCACTGGCGAGGAATGTGGAAAGTGATGATGAGAACGAAAGGAACGCACGACGTGGGAAATTGGATATGCGTGTGATTGTGTGTAATATGCCTGTTGTTTGAAGATTTGGCGCGTGTGAATGTGTTTTATAATTGTCTGGAGGTACGTGATAGCCTAAGTAGCGTTTAGGTTGCAACTTATTGAGAAGTGTCTCATGGTTGTATAAACCAAACCATTTCAGATAACCCGCCTGAACAAGGAATCAGTCACCACCGCCACCGTCAGAATGTTTTGGTACAGTCATGCACACCAAGGATAATTTCGTGGAGTACACCCTGAATGGATGCCATACCAAGGATGCAAGGACTAGTGAGGAGGCGATGAGCTAGTGTTCGTGTAGTACCGCTTTTGGTAGATAAGGAATTTGCCTCTTTTTGATGTATGGTTTTTAAGGTAATCGCAGTGGATGTGCATGTAAAATTTATGGACCCAGAAACATCGGGAAGGTGTAAGTATGTTCATATGTGGGTAATGTAAGGTTTGTAAGTGTTGGCGGTTGGGCGTGCAAGTTTAATTCTGGTGTTCTCCAATTTATTGTCCGGGTTTAATTATTTGTTTCCGCTACGATTGACTCTGATGCGAGACCGTTGAGTCGGCGACGTATTCCTGGGATGTCGCACCGTTCGACTCATGGAAGGGAGGTGTGGAAAGCATTAGATTTGAGTCGGGGAGTGACATAGGGTATAAAAGATGGTCTATAGTGATATGAAAAATTCCACCGTTCTCAATATGTAAAGCACTCTGGTGCTAAAGCACACATTGAATCACATGAAATCTCCAAGAAGGAATGCTCAAATAACATGAAAAAATTTATTGAGTCACCACAAGTACGTCACTTTGGCAATCAATCACCCATGGTACCATATGAAACTTCTTATCCCAACAAAATTAATTAGAAACTTTGTTTCATACTTAATACACAAAACATCGTGTTCCTTTAATGAAATCTCAATTTACAAGTTTGAAAATAAATTTCTAATAGCAGCATACTTCAAATTATGGTAGTTTAAAAATACATATTTCAAAGAAAACCATATTTTCAAAGCACGTATATGGCATTGCATAGGAAACCGTCATCACAATATTTTCTAACATGTCCTTTCAACAAATATAATTAACTCATAGGACAAAATCCGGCTAGGACTCGCATTTAGAAAACCGAGTATAAGATTAATATCTTACTATATTTCTGAAATTTTTGTACCAATCATCCTTAATGAAAATAATGCTATAGTTTATACCAAAAGAGACTATCAAACAAGAAATGCAACTGACTGATGCATGAGCAATAGTTCAAATAATCCTGAAATCATATGATTATTTTCTTCGACTAGGGAACACCATTACCCACTCCCCTCTAGGCACAGGATAGAACAAGTCAAGGAACCTCTACAATAAAACTTCGGGAAAAGTGTCAAAAAGTCTTCAACCTATTACATTGGTGCAAATTTAGTCCTAAACTTTTTAATTGTCCAAATTTAGTCATAAACTTTTAATTGTGCCAATTTAGTCCTTTCTGCTAAATTTGGCCGGAATTGCTGACATGGACGCTTGCCGGCCTACGTGGCACGGGCGACAACGTGGACAATTTTTAATAATATTTTAATTTTAATTTTTATTACTTTTTGTGATTTTTTCTTTTTTTCTTTCTTTTTCTCTCTCCTTTATTCTTCCTTTTGTTGGTAACCATCTACATGCGATGCTCGGCCATTGGCCATGGCCGGGTAGGCTGGCTTTGCCTAGCCATGGCGAGGCCCGGCCGGGTGAGGGTAAGCCTCGGCGACGCCAGGCCTCAACTGGCAGAAGAAGGTGTGGGAGACCTCAGCGATGTAGACGGGGATAATTATGAGGGCATAGTCGACGCTGATGTTGCCGAGGAAGTGGCCTCTTAGGAAGAAGGTGTAAAATTGAGGTAATTGAGGCGGCAATGGCGCATTTTAAGGTGTAATTGTTCAGGTGAGGGTTTGCCAGAGGATGGAGGTCCTCGGTCGAATTGGGTTGGACGTTGTCTTCAACCTTAGGATCACTGCGTGTGTTTTCTAATACCTGTAAAGTAAGTCAATCGGTGCTCAATAAGTAGCGCCTAGCCACAAGGGAAACTCATGTTAAATTTAAAAATCTGGCTATAAAAGAGGAAGACAAAACCAAACTTACATCCATCAATTCCACAAGAGCTTCTTGAATCGTATCATTGGTATTTTGTAGATGCTCAAGATTTTCCTCCCTTTCCCTCATGTCCAACGGCAAAATGTTGTCGTCGTCCTCCAGGTGCTCCATGATGTTCAATGAGCCACTCAATTGTTCCATTCTAAATTTTGAAGCCTGTTTTTTAGCAAGCTGCTTTTCTAAATTGAATCAGGGCTATCTGAACTCTCCCCCCATTCAGACAAGACTTTTCCCATATATCTCAGTGAAATTAAGGAAAAAAGGTTAAAGTCGCAGTTGTAACGCCAAAGAAGATTCAATTAAGATTCACGGCCAACAATCACGCGAACAAGCGCTCATCAACTCTAAAGCCGCGAATTTTGGGTTTAGGGGGACTCATGCACAACACTTGGAGATAAATATATACATGCAAAGAGCTAAGAAAAGGGGAGCCCCTTCTTCAAATAAAAACTTATGACATCCCACTTTCTGATTGACTTTCCTCAGTTCCAAACTTTGACCACCAAAATCATCACCAGGAACCTAAATTAAGTATCGCCCATGATCTGTCATGGTACCAATGAAGACATCGAAGTTGAAATGCGCTTCTCGTGAAGACTTTGATCAATTCAAGCGTGTGTGCAAGCCATGGAAGTGTTGTGAATGGTGGGAATCTTGACCAACGTTTCGACGACTGACAGCCAGTGAAGGGACTGCCAGCTTTTTTTTTTTTTGGTCTAAAGGGACCGCTAGCTTGAACGTCACATTGTTCTCCATTACGTCGAGCATGCCATCACTACTTATTGGGTTCATTCAACCCTGTCCATGATTTTTCGCTCTTCAGGGAAGAATTAAATTCACAATATGCAAACCTAGCATATTAAGGCCTCATTGGAACCTAACTTTATGCATTCTCCAATGTAAACACGTTGAACAAACCCTACATCACGGTTCAGATTCTCGCTAGAATTGAGCTTGGATTCAACGCAGGGTGAAGACCCTGCATTAAGCATTGACATTGTTATACACAGTTTGTTGGTCTCCTGCCAACGTCACAGTCCTTTTTGGCTAGGCGCTGTTGTCACTTCGTTGCAAAGACTCTCACCATCGCTCGTCTGGTTCAAACCAAACAAGTTCCATCGCTGTTGTCCTTTTTGGTTTGTGCAGTTTGTTATTTACAGTTTTTGGAAGTATTCTCATCGTCGTTTTTACATTAGGGTTGGCCTTTTACCTGCGCCTTCAATAACCCAAAAAGTTGGGATCTTTTTACCGTTTCGGTCATGCACATAGCTTTACTTAGTTCATAAGCATTCAACTAGCTCTTCTTGTACTCACAAGCCCTTAGTTAGATTAAATCGTACAAGTAATGAAAAGAAATCGTAAATATATAATACAAAAACCTAGATGGCATGTAGATGATTATTGCATCACAAGATTAGTTAATTCATAATTAATCTGGTTTCATCTAGTGCAGTATTGATCTTTGTTACCTAGATTAGGAAACTCATATTTATTATTTACTTTAGTGCACGTTAATTTGTATGCATAGCTCACGGAAATCCTATCCTGATACTTAATAACGAGACATTGTACAATGTTGCCTGATACGGTTTGGGTTATTTCTTTCCTCATCTTTTACTTTCTTTGTTAATATTAAATTGGATTTGTATTTGTTTGAGTATCCGTACATGATTATTTAGATTTCCATTTCTTCTAAAAAAATCAAAAAATAAGAAAGGGAAGATTGCATGCAAAGCCTTTTATAAAATGAAAAGGTACCCATAACGAGAATTACATCTCTTTAGTATAACCGAGTCCTCGGACTTATAAATCTCTAGTTCGTAGAAGTAAGCAATCTTCCGCGTCTTACCCGGCTCCTAACCTTAGTGGCAACTCTAGTTATAAGAAATAAAATAATAATGAGAAACCAATTTGTCATCGGTAGGGTTTGAGAGAGTTTCTGTGAAGCGTAAGTGCCATCTTGCAAGAGGGTTATTTGCACCTCCTCAGCAATTCGTTAAACTCCCTCAAGTTCACCTCGGGAGGGTCACAACACATTGAAACAAAACTAGTTCTTCAAATAAGACCAGAATGAAGTAATGCTTTGTACTCATAATAGCAAAACTTTTCTAGAAAATGAACAAAATTTTTGAAAAATTTCAAGTAATGAGCTTTCTGCGAACATGAATATTGAGTTATTGGGATGAAAGAGAAATGAGGGGTCAAAGTTTAGGCAAACAAATATATAAATAAAATAAATGATTCTTTAAAGAAACGGAAAATCGGTGTCGGGTGGTGGCACGCCTAATAAGAGCGTGTCGCTTGGCGCTTGCAGTTCAAGTCTCTGCCCCGCTTTGGTTCTTTATTGCCTAGAAGCCCAAGTCTGCTAAGGAGTGAGTCGAGAGCCATGTGCAATATCTCTATGACGCTCTATAAATGCCCAATGGCCTTGCGTAAGGCCCGAGGTCGCTTGAGCTTTTGATTTGTCCATGTAAAGGGGTCAACACATTTATTTCTTCAAGGTAACTTTCAGTTTGAAGATGACAAAATATTTTATGAGAGCTAATATGCGTATTGAATGTGCGGACGAAATATCCTCTACATATATAAGTTTATATGCAGGTAATGTTTACAGCATGAAGGACTTCCTTACTCTGCATATGGGAAAAGAAGATACTGAGTGGAAAGTGTTGGATTTGAAAGAATCTTTTGATGTTGGCGAACAAGCGAGGGACATGGGATCATCGAGGTGCTTGGACAGACCAAATAGAAGGAGAACAATTTGGGCAACATGAATACATTAATATGCTTGGAAGGATCTTAGTGGAGAAGGTGAACAAATCGAGATTAGGAGAAACCGCCAAGTTTAGATAGACCACGCTACACTCAAAGTACTAGAAAGCGGAGATTGAGCTCTAAATTGATTTGATTCAAATTCAAATTAGTGCTCTTTGTAGCCAAGGAATCCACAGAGAGACTTTGTGGAAAAGTTAGATGGGGTTGCCATTTTTGACTAAGCAGAGGGAGTGTCAAGCAAGTTTGTAGAAGCATTTTGATTTATTTCGGGCAAAGTTAATTAATTAGCAAGGCCATTTTGGACTTGGGCCGGGCTGGGCTCACTCTAGGCGTTCGCTAGCACCAGGCGGGGGTTGCCAAGCACTAGGAAGTCACTAGCTAAGGGGCCACTAACCCTTGTAACTGCCACGCGGCAAGTTCCAGTAGGACCAATGCATGTCATTCCGTATTTATTTAAGCCATGAATAATACATACATGTCTGCAC